AAGAAGAAACCAAGTCAGGCAAAACACCAAAAATAAAACTGACTGGTAATACAAATTATATCTCAATAATAACCCTAAGTGTTAATGGCTTAAACTCACCAATCAAAGACATAGGCTGGTAGATTGGATTTAAAAAAAGACCCAACAATATGCTGCCTTCAAAAGACTTATAGGAAAAGACGCCCACAGACCGAAGGTGATGGTTAGGAAAAAACATATCACTCACATGGACTGTGGAAACAAGCAGGGGTTTCCATTCTCATATTAAATAAAGTAGACTTCAAGCCAAAGTTAATCAAAAGGGATAAAGATAGACATTTCATACTGCTTAATGGAAACATACATCAACAAGACACCACAGTTATAAATATATATGCCTAAAACACTGGAGCATCTGCGTTCATCAATCAAACTCTTCTGAAGTTCAAGAGTCAAATCACAACATAATAATTCTGAGTGACTTTAACACAACTCTTTCTACCAAACAAAAGCTAAAGAAAGAAACTACAGAACTCAATAGCACAATCAATAACTTGGACTTAACTGACATTAATATAGAGTATATTATCCATCAATGAGCGAATACACTTTCTTCTCAGCAACACATGGATCCTTCTCTAAAATAGACCATATGTTATGCCACCAAGCAAATCTTAGTAAATACAGAAAAGTAGAGATACTACCCTGCATTCTATCAGACCACAATGGGATGAAATTAGAAATAATGAAATTGAAACAAAAGAAACAATTGAAAAAATTGACAAAACAAAAAGTTGATTCTTTGAAAAAAAAATAAATAAAATTGATAAACCATTAGCCATGCTAATGAAGGAGAGAGAAAACTCAAATTACTAATATCTATGATATATTACAACGGACACTACAGAAATACAGAAGAAAATTAGAAATTATTTGAAAAATTTGTACTCCAATAAAATAGAAAATATCAAAGACATTGACAAATGTCTAGAGGCATATAGTATGCCTAAACTAAATCAGGATGATATACACAATTTAAATAGATCAACTTCAAGCAAGGAAACAGAGGACACCATTAAAAGTCTATCAACTAAGAAAACCCCAGGACAGGATGGATACAAAACTGATTTCTACAAGACTTTAAAGAAGAACTGACACCAAATACTTCTCAAACTATTTCATGAAATAGAAAAAGAGGGAATGCCAAGTTTCTGTTCTCATGACTAAAAGGCTCAGGGGTCACTCCAGTTGAACTGGGCTAACTGGGCTGCACAAAATAACCACACAAGAGACACAAATACCTTTTTCTTTGGGGTCACTGTAACAGCTCCTCTTACCTTAAGGGTCCATAGGAAGAGAGAGCGAGAACATGTGCTGACCTCTTTTATTGAGAAGAAGCTATTCAAGTGAGGCAAGAGGTCAGGTTTCAGGGGGCTGAGTCTATCTTCATGATATCCACTGTCAGCAGGTTGACTGACATCTGGGTAGGCCACACCCAAGGGCACAGTAAGAGAAGGGGACACACACACACACACACACACACACACACACACGGCACTTCCATGGAAGATTCTATCCTAAACAGGGCAAGGGGTTAAATTACAAAGAACAGGTGAGCATAGCTTCACCCATGGGGCTGTAGCAAGACACTGACCCTCGAACCCAAGAAGGGTGGGGAAAGCTCTGTCACATTTCTGTGACTGAGCGCCTCAGCATCCAGCCCAGGAGTGTGACTCAGTCATGTGCAAGGTTGGTCTCCCACAAGGAAACACTGCCAAATACATTCTATGAGGCCAATATCACCCTGATTCCAAAACCAGACAAAGACACATCAAAGAAAGAAAACTTCAGACCAATATCTCTAATGAATATAAATGCAAAAGTTCTCAATAAAATTTTAGCAAATCAAATACAAAAACATATCAAAAAGATAGTGCATCCCAATCAAGTAGGGTTCATCCCAGGAATGCAGGGTTGGTCTAACATGAAGTTCCTCACATCAATAGACTCAAAGATAAAAATCATATGATCATCTCAATAGATACCGAGAAAGCATTTGATAAAATACAGCATTCCTTCATGTTCAAAATGCTTGAAAAACTAGGGATAACAGGAACATGCCTCAACATTGGAAAGGCTAACTATGCTAAGCCCAGGCCAACATCATTCTAAATGGAGGAAAATTGAAGGCATTCCCTCTAAAAACTGGAACAAGAATTGAAGGCATTCCCTCTAAAAATTGGAACTACAGGGATACAGCCACATCAATGTTTATAGCAGCACAATTCACAATAGCTAAATTGTGGCACCAATCTAGATGCCCTTCTGTCACCACTTCTATTTAACGTAGTTCTTGAAATTCTAGCCAGAGCAATCAAACAGATGAAATAAATTAAAGGGATAAAATAGGAAAAGAAAAACTCAAATTATCACTATTTGAAGACCATATGATTCCATACCCAGAAGACCCAAAACATTTCACCAGAAATCTCCTAGAACTAATAAATGAATTCAGCAAAGTATCTGGATATAAAATCAACACCCATACAGAAATAAGCTATTTCTGTACATCAGTGACAAATCCGCTGAAAGTGAAACTAGGAAAACCACCCCATTTACAATAACCTCAAGAAAAATAAAATATTGAGAATAAATTTAACAAAAGAGGTGAAAGACCTCTACAATGAAAACTACAACACGCTAAAGAAAGAAATTAAAGAAGACCTTAGAAGACAGAAAGATCTATCTTATTCTTGGATGGGCAGAATTAATATTGTCAAAATGACCATACTACCAAAAGCACTATACAGATTAAATGCAATTCAAATAAAAAACCCAGTGGTATTCCTCATAGAAATAGATTAAGCAATCATGAAATTCATCTGGAAAAATAAGAGACCCAGAAAAGCCAAAGCAATCCTTAGCAAGAAGAATGAAGCTGGTGGCATTACTATTCCAGACCTAAAACTATACTACAGAGCAATATTAATTAAAACAGCATGGTATTGGCACCAAAATAGACTGTAGAGCAATGGTACAGAACAGAGGACACAGAATCTAACCCACATAACTTCAGTTATCTCATATTAGACAAAGGCGCCGAAAACATACATTGGAGAAAAGATAGGCTCTTCAACAAATGGTGCTGGGAAAACTGGAAATCCACATGTAATAAAATAAAATTAAACCTCTATCTCTCACCATGCACAAAACTCAACTCAAAGTGGATCAAGGGCCTAGGAATTAAACTCCTATGGCGAATTAAAAACAGAATCAATAAATGGGATGGATTCAAAATAAAAAGCTTCTTCTCAGCAAAAGAAACAATCTGTGAGGTGAATAGAGAGCCTACAGAATGGGAGCAAATCTTTACCACAAGTACATCACATAGAGCACTAATCTCTAGGATACATAAAGCACTCAAAAACCTTAACAGAAAAAAAAACAAAAACAAGTAACCCAATCAATAAATGGATCAAGGAACTGAACAGACACTTCTTGGAAGAGGATATACAATCAATCAACAAACATATAAAAAATGTTCAACATTTCTAGCTTAGAGAAATGCAAATCAAAACTAAGATTTCATCTCACTCCAGTCAGAATGGCAGCTATCAAGAATATAAACAACAATAAGTGTTGGCGAGGATGTGGGGAAAAAAGCACACTCATACACTGCTGGTGGGACTGCAAATTGGTACAGCCAATGTGGAAAGCAGTATGGAGATTCCTTAGAGAACCTGGAATGGAACTACCATTTGACCCAGCTATCCCTCTCCTCGGTTTATACTTACTTAAAGCACTTAAAAAACAGCATACTACAGGGACACAGCCACATCAATGTTTATAGCAGCACAATTCACAATAACTAAACTGTGGAACCAAGCTAGATGCCCTTCGGTAGATGAATGGATAGGGAAAAATTTGATATATATATACCCAATGGAACATTACTCAGCATTAAAAGAGAATAAAATCATGGCATTTGCAGGTAAATGGATGAAGTTGGAGAATATAACGCTAAGTGAAGCAACCAATCCCCAAAAAACCAAAGGCCAAATGTTTTCTTTGATATGAGGACTCAGAGGTATAATGGTGATGGGTTGGTGGGGAGCATGGGAGGAATGGAGGAACTTTAGATAGGGGAGAGGGGAGGGAGGGGAAAGGAGGGGATAGGAAAGGTGGTGGAATGAGTTAGACATCATTACCCTAAGTATAAGACACCAATGGTGTGAAAATATTCTGTGTACAATCAGTGTCTTGAAAAATCGTGCTCGATATGTATAATACGAAATAAATTACATTCTGCCATCATGTATAACAAATCAGAACAAAAATTTTTTTGAAAGGCTACCTTTCAGGTGTGCTCAGATGGAGTGTTGAAATTCACTTGTGAATTTGGGGAGATAGTCACTTCTTAGTGCTTCTGTTGACATCTCCTTCCTATGGAGAACAGGTCATATGGTTCCCTGCCTCCAGGTTAGGGGAGAGGGAGAAGAAGCAAAAAGAAAAACACGTCCCTTTTTAAAAAAGCAGCACGGGCTATATTAAAAAGGTAAAGTGGACTCCTATTACAGTTCTAAACTGTAAGTTTCTAAACCCAGAGCAGAATTGGGTCCAGGTTCCCAGCAAGATGATAGGCACCCATAGGGCTGTGGTTGAGGAACTTGGAGTCTGAGAGCAGGAGGGAGCCTCAGGGCTAAGTCCCAGACAGGTCACGTGGGAACAAGGCAGGCGCAGTTTGAATACAAACACCTTTTGGAAAACATTAATATATTTATAAACTTTTTTTTTTTAGTGGGGGGCGGGGATCCGAAGTCTTTTGGAGTAGCTTGTGTTTATTTTCGGTAACAAAAGCGAAGAGGCTGCCCAGAACTTGGGTCCCCCGGGGTCTGAAACGTTGGTCGAGTCCCGGCGGCAGCGCTCGGTCATCCCGGGAAGGAGGCGGTCACCGAGCCTGGCCCCGAGCGGGTGGAAGCGGGGCCGAGCCTGGCCCCGAGCGGGTGGAGGCGGGGCCGAGCCTGGCCCGCCCAGCGGCGTCGCGGAGTACCGAGGCCGCGCTGGCTGCAGCCTCCTCGCCCCGGCGACTCCGGTAAGCCCCGGCCGTGCCCGCTGTCCTCCGTCCCCGGTGCGCAGCCCCCGCGGGTGTGCCCGCTGTCCTGCGCCCCGGCTTTCAGCTGGGCAGTGCGTCAGAAGGGCGCGTGGTGACGGGGTGGCCCCTGTTTACCAACCAGAAAGGCCAGGTTGGACACCAAGAAAGAGCAGGGTGTGGCACCAAAAAGGGCGGGGTGGGCGGAGCAGCGGGACGTCGATCCCTTTGGGAACCTGAGCACCCGCCCCGACCTTTACCTCCAGAGAAGCTGTGGCCTTGTAGAGAGGAGGATCCCCGAATCAGCCTCCGCGCGAGCAATGCCCTTTTCTTCCCTTGCAGGTTGAATTTTGGAACTGCACGGCAGAGACCTTTGTTTTCCCAGATCTGCTCAGCTGCACCCTCTTTAGAGCCAGAAGGTCGAATTTTTGACAAAACGTTAGGGAGTTGCGGTTCACGAAGAACAGGTGCTCCCTAGGAAATTGCCGCAAGCTATTAAACCTCATTTTCTCATCAGTAAAACCGTGGACCTCGCTTCATAAGGTGGTGGCAAGGACTAAGTGAGATCGCAGAAAGGCCCAGCCTGGCACCTGGTAATTGTGGCAATTTTTTTCAGGTATCCCTGTGATCTCTCAGATTCCCCACTGGAGGGAATTTACTGCCTCGAAGAAAGCACACAAATCTCTGTCAGGGAGGTGGCAACATTTGCCCATATAAGGCTATTTATAGTTCCTGGGTAATTTATAATAGGAATGCAAGGAGGAGGAGTTCCTCAGTACAAACCGAACTTTCCTGAAATTTGTGGCATGGACTTTGATAGTGAAGAGTAGAAACTTTGCTCTAAGGAAAACATTTCCTTCTGCTGAGAGGCTTGGAAGATGAAAGATGGATTTTTAGGGTGGGAGGACCTGGATGAGAGACCAGAGATTTGAGTTCCTGGAACAAATTATAGGGGTACCCTTATATGGGAAACTGCAGATTTGTGTGCTTTCAGATCTGGGGTGGCTCTTTCTGGCCCTTTGGGTGGCTGGGAGGGGCTTTTCCATTATGATGGTGCTTTTTTTTTTCCCTCTCCCTGTTGATGTCATTAGTGTTTTGAACTGAGTAACTGATCTTGGGGTGCCTCAGCATGTTTGGCAATAGCATGTCCAAGGTTTTAAGGACACAGATGTTTTAGGTCCCTGACACTACTAACCCCAGGATCTGTTAAGCCCCTTGTGAGTTACCAGACTCTGATGAGTAGAGGTAAGATGAATCCAATGTGGCTTTGCAACTTTCCTATCACCCTAGGATAGGTAATTTCACACCCACACTACCCCCCCCCCCCCGGGAGGGGGCCTCTATTAATTTCCTATAAAATGAGGACATCAGGAGTTTTAGAATCTGTCTAATCTTGAAGATCATCAGGCCCAGGCTCCCAGGAGAGTAACTGTACTTGTGGGTGACAGTGAATCCTACAGAAATTTCAAATGTTAAAATTTGAGGGGAGAAGAGGATTCTTTCCTTTATATACCCTTCAACTGAATGTATTTCAGAAGCTGAACTCGGTAGTCTCCCACCACAGAGTTATGATTCTGAGCTCAGATCTCCGTTTAAATAGTGTTCCACCGCTTTGCAGTAATGAGGTTGCTATGTTAGTTTTCTTTTTCTTGTTTGTTTTGTTTTGTTTTGAGATGGGTCCCTGCTGCACAGCCTAGGCGGTTCTGGAATTCAAGCCACCCTCCCACCCCTACCTCCCAAGTAGCTGAGGATATGGGAGTAGCTGGGACTACAGGAGTATCCCGCCACATCTGATTTATATTGGTTTTTCCTGGCTTCGGAAACAAATTACAAGTTTAGCAGCTTAAAAAAATACAGACTTATTAACCTTGTTGTTCTGTCCTCTATCTAGAGTCTGACACAGGTGGCACTGGGGCCAAAGTGGGGCAGCAGCCTGTGCTCCTTTCTGAATCATAATGATGTGGTGGGGAGACTCCTGAATTCAGCTTCCGAAATACATGCTTGCTCACTCAGGTTACTGGCAAATACAATCCTTGTGAGAGGGGGACAGGTCTGGTTTCCTTTCTGGGTGTGTGTTAAGGACCAGTCAGTTTCCAGAGGTCACCTGTATGCCTTGGCGTGGAAGCTTTCCTGTCTTAAGTTAACAAGAGGGAGTTGAGTTCATCTCTCCTCCCTCTTTTTCTGTTGTCACATTTTCTGACAGAATCTGCTGTATCCTCTCTGACTTTGAATGATCCTATGATTATATTGGGCCCCCTGGGTAACCTAGAATCTTAATCTCATCTAACAGCCACTTGCCATGTAAAGCTGCCTCTAGTCACAGATTAGAAATGCAGACATCTTTGGGGGCAAGAGGTAGTATTCTGAATACCACAATTGTGTCAACTGGCTCTCTTCCAGCCTCAGTTTCTTATAATTGGAACAGAGATTACATTTACTTTATAGCATTGTTGTGAAGATTAACTCCGTAACTATGGCAAGAGTCCTCAGCATAGCAATTGACCTATAATATTTGCTCACTACATAGAAGTTAACACAGAAACAAGGACTTGCCTAATAGCTTGCATTTGGTAACATATTGCATTCAATGGTGTGATCACATGCCGCCTGAAGAGAAGAAACTCTTCATTATTTAATCAGAATCAGCAGCTCCTTTTACAGCCCTGCTGGGAAACCCTATATAAAGTAGTCTCGCCCTTGCACCAGGTCACTGTAGCCTTGTGGTTTCTAGTGTGAATTCTGGCCCAGCACCTGGGAACCGGCTAGAAATGCATCTTCCTGGGCGCTACACTAGACCTACTGATCCCAGGTATAGGGTGGGGTGGGGTCTGTCAATCTGTGATTTGGATGTTCAGTGAAATTGACAACTAGTATTGTAACCCCCACCCCTTTATTTTCTTCCTTTTGTCCCTCATTGGTGCCCACCCCTACTAGAGTATAAGGCTCTGACCTTGATCAACAGCAATAGCCAGTGCCCAGCACGCACCTGCACACACACAGTGGGCTCACAAATTACTATTGAAGGGATGACCAGGAGGCAGAGGTGAAGACTGAACCTACTCCCTAGTACTAAATATACCAACCTGTGGATGCCTTCATTTCATCACTGAATCATTATTTATTTATTCATTCATTCATTTATTTTGGGGATACCAGGAATTGAATCAGGGGTACCCGACCTGAGCCACATCCCCAGCCCTATTTATATTTATTTAGAGACAGGGTCTCACTGAGTTGCTTAGCACCTCGCTCTTGCTGAGGCTGGCTTTGATCTCACAATCCTTCTGCCTCATCCCCCCTCCCCCACGCACTGGGATTACAGGTGTTCACCACCACGCCCGGCACTAAATTGTTATTTAAAGCGTTATATGCTTTCTGCTCAAGCATCTCTGAGTTGCTTATGTATATACAAGTTAGGTAAACACATACAGTTTTAATGATATGTTCAGATATCATATGTTTGTGCTATTTAGGGGACTCAGGGCTTTTGGATGGTCAGTGCCACATTTTTGTTTTCCCATTTAAAACAATGGGCTTTGGGGCTGGAGATGTGGCTTAAGCGGTAGCGGGCTCGCCTGGCATGCATGCGGCCCGGGTTCGAGCCTCAGCACCACATACAAATAAAGATGTGTCCGCTGAAAACTAAAAAATAAATATTAAAAAAAATTCTCTCTCTCTCCCCCTCCCCCCCCCCCCCCCCTCTCTCTCTCTCTCTCAAAAAAATAAATAAAATAAAACAATGGGCTATAGGCTCACACTATATTTTCTACCTAAATACCCCAAACATTTGCTACTCAAAACATTTCCACTAAGGGATGCCCATATTTGTAAATCATCTTGCCACTGTTTAGCTTCCCCTTGCATTTAAGGTGGGTGGAAATAAATAATTGTCAAGTAGTTTTTATTATAGAATGAGATTCTTTAGTCCTTGGGCAATTTGGGTTTTGCCTCTTACTGTCTTCTGTAGGAATCTTTATTGCAGCATCTCTGATCTGCAACCTCTGCTGCCTGAGTCTTTCCAACTGATAGGAAGCTTTTTACATTCCATCAAGAGAATTGCCTTCCAAATGTGCTGACCATTAGTCCAGGGCCCACCCTGGCATGTAGCAGGGCAGATAGGGCAAACAGCTGATGTTCAAGAAATCCAAAATGCTTCCCTTGTTGATCCTAATTTTGTATTTGGAAATTACATGGAGCCAGGTGCTGTGGCACAATCCCAGCAAATTGGGAGGCTGAGGCAGGAGGATCCTGAGTTCAAAGCCAGCCTCAACAAAAGCAGGGTGCTAAGAACTCAATGAGACCCTGTCTCTAAAAAGATATAAAATACAAACTAGGGCTGGGGATATGGCTCCGTGTTTGAGTGCCCCTGAGTTCAATCCTCTCACCTCCTCACCCCCCATAAAAAAGAATCTTCCTCAGCAGTTTGGAGTCAGTAACTCTCTCTGGTACACTTTCTCAAATAGAACACAGTCCTGGTTCCTTCCACCATTTCTCCTGGCTTTTGTCTGTTTTGCTATTCTGTAAAACTGGAAGAAATTCAGAAATGTAGCATCTTGACTAAAATATTATTTCCAGGTCAAGTCTGAGCCAGGACAGAGTGAACTCCAAGGTTGTGTGTACATTCGTCTATTTGTACATTCGTCTATTTGTCTCTGAAACTGACACAGGGCATTATAATCTGGGTTGAGTTTTTTAAACCTTCACATCTTGTTTTTGTATTCTATCCTCATGTAAAATCATTATTGACCACTTTACAAATTAGGAACTGAGGGAAAGGATTTGACTGTTTCAAGGTTGCATAATTGGAAGCAAAGCAATATTATAATATAGGTATCACTTTTAGGAAAGACTAGAAAATCACCCAGGTCCTCATTTTTTACAAATATGGTCTGTTATATTTCAGACCTAGAAAACACACACACACACACACAAAACTTGGTTTTTAATCTTAGACAGTTTTGAGAGCCTGTATATATTATTTCATACCTAATCAGGCAGAGTAGTAGAAAAATGAAGCTAAGAAACCAGAAATGAAATGATGCATAAGTACATTAAAATAATTCTCTTGTTTTGAGAGATTTTGTATAAAAAATATTTGGTGTTAGAAAAAAAGAAAAGTTAAGCAGGAACAAACTGCTCCTAACTGTACCACTCTATTAAACACCTTCCAAAATATTCAGAAGAACTGATACATTATTCCAAACATTTTTTTTTTTGCAGGTGTGTGTGTGTGTGTGTGTGTGTGTGTGTAAATAGATATATGCCGCAGTCTGGCTGGGCACAATTCAGGAGCCACTTGTCAAAAGAAAGGAACTTTATTTTTAGAACCGCACACGCCAAACCACACAGCTCTTCAGGAAAACCTTCAGAGCCCAACTGCAACCACCGGCTTCCCACAAGCCTCTCAACCTCCCCCACTCCTCCTGCTCTTGAGGCGATTTGCTGGGTTGCGTGGGCGGAGCCAAAAAAAGTCCCCCAATGAGCAGCTCGCAGGTCTGAAAGGGCGGGGAAACAACCCAATGAGCATCACTGCAGAGGAGCCAATCAGTTGGCAGCTAGAAGTTTGCTGGGGCCGCTGTGAGCCAATCATCAGCTGGCAGCTGGAAGTTTGCTGGCAGCTGGAAGTTTGCTGGGGCTCCTTTGGCTGTGGCTCTCAACATCTCCCCCTCTCTGTTTAAACAACAAGCATGTGGCTTAGGGACCGTACCTGCCTTAGGTTGTCCAATACTACATATGGTTCTTACCCGTCATCTGATGAGCTGACCTCAAGGCGTCAGCCTCCTGTCTTAGGTTGGTACCATTGCAATTGGATCTTACCAGTCATTGACTACCGATCCAGCATACAGCCACACCTGTGGATAGGTCTTTGTACCAGCGAGGTGGTGAGGTTCTTTGCCTCACCTCTGTTGGCCCCCAAATTTTAGCTGAACGGCCATCACAAGCAGAAGGGAGGAGGATACACCAAGCCATTGCAATGTTTGAAAACTCTATAGTCAAAAAATAGAACTGATCAGCAAAACATTAACCTAGGTCTGTATGAGCTCAAAAAACAAAATAGAACTTCATGATATGGGAAAGGGTAATAATAAAATAGATATTGAAAAAAGCATCCTGGTTCTGTCGCAGATGTAAGAATAGCTAAACTGGAGTTTTGGATATCAGCTGTTATGGATTTGAGCCAAATCATCTTCTTTTTGGTCTGTAGAAATCGCTTTAGTTAATCTTTCTGGAATCCAAATCGGCTGCTGTTCTCCCTGTGGAAACACAAAAACAGACCCCCGACTCCAGACAATCACTGGGTCAGGACCTTAGTTAATCTCTCTGGAATCCAAATTGGCTGCTGTTCTCCCTGTGGAAACGCTGTAAGCCAATCATCAGCTGGCAGCTGGAAGTTTGCTGGGGCCCCTTCGGCTGTGACTCTCAACAGATATAAATATGTTTAAAAGAAAAAGTAATAAATTATAGCTATTTTTAAACTGGATCAAACCTTGTGAGCACCTTCCATTCCAGGAATTCTTCATGCCTCTGTGTATTCAACCCCATATGTTGGACTTTTGCTCTTTTAAACAACGTTTGTTTAACTTTGTTATTTGCTTATTCCTGTGATGAAAAGCCTATTTCCATTGCCCATTAAGGAATTTACTTTAGAGTCAAGTACCCAGAAAAATGTGTCCTTAGACATAAGGCTGGCTTAAAGTGTGATCTGCAACCCCAAAATGGTATTTTTCAATAGGCTTCCCATCTTATTCTGAGGACCCCAGTCAGAATACCTTTGGGCTGTTTTTGAGAATTGTCTACCCTCAGAGAAAAAAGGCTTGTCACTGTCTTCTTTGGGGATTGTCAGTAGTGCATTCTTTGGAAGAACTAAGCCTTTTTGGGAATAATATCAATATTATTAGAATAGTTATGTCAGTATTATTAGAATAGTCCGTAGGAACAGACACACTGTTATTACTGAGTCTTGATGTTTTTAGAAAAGGGAGAAGTTGACACCTTCTGGATGTGCCTTCCTTTTAAGCTGTGCTTGGTCTGAGTGGATATTGATAGCACTTCTGGTTTAGCCACCATGTTATCTACACTTATGGGCGCCTTTTTTTTTTTTTTTTAATAATGGAGGGTATTTTAGATTAGGGAGGAGGTTCAAACCATCGATTGAGTTTTTGTTTTCTTTTAAATTCTGAAATAGATTTACCAAAAGATAGCTGATAGGGCACTATTAAAAGGGCATCTGGGCTGGGGTTGTGGCTCAGTGGTAGAGCGCTTGCCCAGCATGTGTGAGGCACACCACATAAAAATGAGTAAATAAAAAAATAAAGATATTGTGACCAACTACAACCAAAAAATATTTTTTTTTTAAAAAAAAAAAAAAGGGAAACATCTGCAACGTGTGTATTTTCCTGATACTTTTGATGATAAAACTAACACTTGGTTTTTTATAGACTATTCGGGGGATGGGTGACAAAAGGTAAAGGATCATAAAGAAAAAGTCACAAATAATCCTGTTTAATGGTACCTGCTGTCAACATCTTGGGGTGTTTATAAAATCGCTTTAACCAATCAGCTGTTCCCTTTTCTGTCTCCCCACCAGCACACATGCCATAGACCATGCTGCTCTGGGAAACCCATGTTAGTAGTGCTGAATAAAGACCCGAATAGCACAGTCCTGGCATCAGCACCACCCTGGCCACTTCCTTCTTTTGCCATCTTTGCCTTCCTGCAGCCTCGACATGGAAGCAGCTCCAGTGACTACTAGCTAGCTATTGCAGAGTCCAAGCTAAGGCTTCACACTCCCCTTGCAACCCAGAAACCTGAAGGCTGCCTTAGGTTTGGGGCTTCCATCTGGAGAGCCATCTGGAGAGTTTATCTTGCTTCTTCGACCAGTGCTACACTTTGTCTACTTGCCACTTCACCCTCCAGGACTCCCTCCCTTCTGATTTCTTCTTCCTGATAATCTCATGACTTATCAGTAATACCAGTAGTGTCTGCTGCTTTTGGAGTGCCTTCTCTGGCCAGGTATTGTGCTGTGCAGCATGTATGACTGTCCCCATGGAGGTCCCAAGTAACATACAGCAAATAAGTGGCAGAGCTAGAACTGTTCAAGGCATTGTTCAAAAGCCTCCAGAGTAGTCTCAGAAGCCACACCCTTGACAAGTTCATGGTCTTGTTCCTGCTCTCTTCTCAGGCCAGTGTTTTCTAAAGCACTTTATCACCACTTTGTCATAGAAAGGTTCTAGGTAAGGGATCCAGTGTGTTATAACAGTGCTACTTATGTCAAAGACCTAAAGCTAGCAGTTCCAGCCATCTGACACCTTGCTGGTGCCTAACCCAAGTAAGGAGGCTCCTTCCCTCCTACTCTGTTGGGAATCCTGACCTAGTACCTATTCTGAACTTTTAGAAAGTGCCTAAAGTGCTTTTGCTCTTTGGGGACCTTGGATCTATACCCCTATCTCTTGGGTGCCTTGACTAACCTGAGCCTATAAATCTTCTTTCTACCCAGAAACCCCAGAGCATGGGGAACCAAGCAGGAAGCTGGCAGGGTGCCAAGGGAGCTGGAGGAGGCTCCACTTGTAAGGAAAGGCCTGGCCCTGGTTGTCCTTGACACCCTCACTCTTTTTTTTTTTAAAGATAGAGAAGAGAATTTTTTAATATTTATTTTTCAGTTTTCGGTGGACACAACATCTTTATTTTATTTTTATGTGCTGCTGAGGATCAAACCCAGCGCCCTGCGCATGCCAGGTGAGCGCGTTACTGCTTGAGCCACATCCCCAGCCCAACACCCTCACTCTTGAGCATGACTCAGCGTTTTCTTTTGTGGACAGCACTAGACCCTGCCCTGTCCAGCTTCTCAGTCCTCCACTGGCCTTCATCCACCACTTCCTGCATAGCACTGCCCTTCAAAGATGTGAGAGATTATGGTCCAAAAGCTTTAGGGACCGCTGCCTTCCTGACCCAGAGGAGGGCAGGTGACTCTCCCCACCAAGGCCCCATCTGTCTGCCAGACCTGTCGGGCTTAGGGGAGTAGAATGTACAGCACCTTCACTTACAGCATCTGTCACCTCCTTACTTCAGGATAGGCCCAGGGGTAAAGGGGTGGTGTTGGGAGAGTTCCTGAATCTGCTACCAAAAAGCTTTGCACTTAGGCCAGTCTAAAAAGCTTTTGTGCCTTGTTTTCCTTATTGACTGAAAAGAGGGCTCAAAGCACTCAGCCTTCCCTTCTCAGATGATGCTTCCTGCTGTATTAGTCACTTATGTAATGAGGACTAGTCACTGAGGTTGCCCAGACCCTCTTTTCGCATCCCCAGGGGGAACAAGGACGTGTCCCCATGGCATCTGTTAGGGTGGGGAGCCACAGCTTCCATGCATGCTAAGCCTTTGCCACCTGTTCTGCTGCTGAACACATGCTGCTGCCTCGTGGGGACATTCTTGGTCCTCTTTACTTAGTGGCCTGGTCTGGCCCTCCAGCTCAGCCAGCAGGTTGGGGTGGTGCCAGCAGAGCAGGAACTGCAGTTGTCATATTCATTAGTTTTCTGGTATTTTCACTGGACATCAACCTTCTGGACAAGAGAGTAGTACTCCCACTGCGTGGTAATGAACACTGAGGCTTGTAGGGACTGGGTTTATTTGAGGGTACATTCTAGCTTAGGTTAGAGCTAGGGTAGGGTCCAGCTATTCCTGACTGAGCCCAGTGAGCTTGGATTCCCCCATAGCTGCCCCTTTGCCCAAGTTGGGCAGCATTTTCCAGTAAGCTGAGGTCTTGGGGAGGGAGAAGAGGTCCAGTACTGCCCTACCCAAGAGGACCCCTGGGTTCATGGCATCCTAGCCTGGAAGTTTCCTGGTATTGGTCTGTTAGCACCTTCCCCATGTTTTCTGAGGCCACTTTGACCTTGTGCTCTTGGTTTTGAGATAACCAGCAGTCACTCGTTGTTCCATAACAACTCTTGTCCTTTCCTTACAGACTCTGTGCACCATCACCATGAGAAGCAGAGGAGGACTCACCCTCCTCGGAGTCCTGTTCATTCCGGTTGTCCTCTGCCACTCAGGTGAGTGGTAGAGAGTCTCTGGACACAGATATGAACCATCCTGCCTGCCTTGGTCCTGAATTTTCTTCCTATTAGGCCTCTGGGAGACGAAACTGACACGACTGGCCTCAATTTCCACCCCAGTCCCTCTTCCAGGCCTGGCTTTGGTTTTTCTGCCTCCAGTGTTACAGGTCTGAGGTTTTATGACACCTCCTTCCTAAGCTGTGACCTTGCTGTCAGTGGGACACCTTCCTGAGTTACAGCCCGTCCTGAGTTACAGGGCTGCCTTTTTCTGGGCAGGGGAACTGAACAGCTTAGGTTTCACCAAAGCCTATGGTTTCTCACCACAAGCTACCTGAGGATTGCAGTGGAAGCCTGCCTTATAGTGCTGGGCAAGTCCCTTCAGGTCCTTCCCATTGTCCCCAGAGCCTTTTGAGCTCAATCCTCCACTCTGTGACTTCTCCTTAGCAACAGTGATGATAATCATAGTGAGAGCAGCAGCTAAAGCTTAGAGCATTTCCGTGCTGATCAGTCTGCCAGTCATGGTCCTTGTATTTACATGTTTAACCCTCATGTCAACCCAATGGAGTGAGTACTGTGTTATCCCTGTTTGACAAATGACAAGATTGAGACTCAAAGAGAAGAAATAACTTGTTAAAGAACACCCAGAAGTGTTTCACCAGATGTGAACCCTGGATGCCTGTCTTCACACCTATTACAGGCCGGCCTCCTGGGCTGCCTGTTCTCCTGGGCTGCCCCATTCTGAACCACCCTTCCCCTGGTTCCTGGAGGAAGTTGGCCTGAGTCTTCCGTAATAGAACAATGGTGCCACTTGGTTTTGCTTCATCGTAAAGATCAAACGTTCTTCCTGCCTGTGTCCTGTTGGTACAGCATCCTGGCCACTACTGATGCCTTTCCTTCTGGGGTTGGGGTGGAAGGGAGAAAAAGAAGTAGCAATACAATGAATAATTTTTAAAAAAAGGTCTCTGCAGTGTTGGGTGTATTAGTAGCTACCACATATTGATGGCTTACTGTGTACTAGGAACCAGGACAAAGCCTACCTCATCTAATCCCCCCAGCCCTCCATGAGGGGCCGTGCTCTTGTGCTAATTGGATAGTGGAGGAGACTGCAGCAGGAGAAGCAATTTGCCCAAGGACACACCTGACTGCTCTCTCCCTTTCAGAGAAAAAAGAGAAGTCAGGATTCCCCTCCTCACCCACCTTCCTCATCACCTCCCATAAGGAGGTTATAATGTGGTCCCCGTGTCACAGCACGGTGTTCCTTCCTCAGTTCTTCTACCCAGTGTATTGCCTGTAATTACACAAGGGAGAGAGAGAGAAGAAGAGAAAGAGGAAGAAAAAGGGAGACGGACAGAGAGAAGGGAGGGGAGAGAGAGAGTGCCCTTGCTGTTGCCCAAGACACTGTGAAACCTTGGGGGAACTTTTGTGACACAGGCCATTATGTCATAGGCAGAAACATCCCCCTCAGGCAGAAAATGACATTTGATCCTTACAGTGAAGCAAATCAAGTAGCACAAAGGTGCCTGTTGTTACAGAGGTTGAGACTTAGGACAACTTCCTTTAGGAATCAGGGGAAAATATCCCAGGTCCAAGTAGCCCTAAGGGTCAAGTCCCGTCTGCCTTTGGTTAGAAGTCAGAATATCAAAAAATCCACTAATTACTTGTCTTTGATCCCGGTTTTCCCCCCACCGTGTCCCCTTTCCTTCTTGTCCCACTCGGGACAATTAGAAGAAAGTCTTGGTTAAACCATACTTGGGTGTTAGAACTGGTGGCCTGAGTCTGCGTCTCAGTTCCATTACCTAGCAGCTGTGTGACTTTGGGTGGGATAGTTGACATCTTTCTCTTGCAATATGGAGTTGAAGTTCCTTGAAACCTTCATCTTATAACAATTCTATGAAGGGCTTAATGCATAAATGCACAGACATTTGGACATTAGATGAATACATTAGATATGAAAATTTTGGCCCACAGAAATTCCAAATATGGGCCTCGACTCCTAACTAAAGGTTTGTCAAGAAGCCAAATAAGCTCTGGTTCCAGCCAGGATAAGATTGACGCCTATGGGTGATCTTTTAAAATGGCCCTCAGACAGCCAGATTAATACCACACCTTCCCTCTTCCAGCTCTTCGGGTCTTCCATTCTTTGGGTTTTTTTTTTTGGTACTGGGGATTGAACTCAGGGGCACTCGACCACTGAGCCATATCCCCACCCACATCCCTCATTGTGCTCAGGCAGTGAGGACCCACTTTCTGTTGGACTTCTGGAAAAATCTCCACATCCCCTGGAGGTGACCTTAGAACTAGAAGTCAGCTCTCAGGCTCCACAACCCACACCGGTTTAATCCTAACATTCTTCTGTGAGATTTTACACGTTTCATCTTTGAAAATGTCTTTTTACAGGTAGCCACCACTAAATACTGAGGTCATAGCAGAAGCCACATAGTGGCAGGAAGGTCATTCTCTCAGGTACTAGAGAAGGGCGTATCCACATGACTCAGGAAGATTTCCTTTTGACTCTGGATTCCTCAGCTTCTCCCCATTACAAATATTGACTGTAACTCCTCTTCTTCTTCTTCTTTTTTTTTGGGGGGGGTCACTTTTGTGATAAAAATAGAGAAGGAAAAATAACCCAGGAAAACCCAAGGTTTAGCTGGCAAAGATGAGTCCTAAGAACCTGAGGTGGAACAATATTGTTTTTTGAATTAGGCAGTGGGGCAGTGGCCTGTCGTGTAAACTGTCCTCCATTTCCAGTGTGTCTGCTGTGACCTGCTGCCCCATTCACAAGGGTTTAGTGTGCAGCTGCTGTATTGCCCATGACCATGTGTACTGCTGGCCCTGGGTTAGTACCTTAGTAGGGAACAGGTCAGTGATCATACCCTATCCCAGAGGTTGTCCCACTTTCTATAAAGGGCCAGGCAGTAAATATTTAAGGCTTTGCAGGTCAAGAGACAAAATCAAGTATATTATGTGGGCTCTTATATAAGTAACAAGAGAGGAAACAAAAAATATTGATGTACAAAATTCACAATGTAATAATTGACTGCAAATATATACTGTATGTTTGCTAATGAGAGGAATAGAATATTTTTAGGGAGGATCATGAACAACCATTTGTTTCCTCCAAAGTAGGTTGTTGATCATGAAATCCTGGTCTGGGTGGTTACCTTGTGGTTCATGATGGAGGCCGATTGTCAGGGAGGAAAAGTACTGAGCTCACTCTGTACTTGTGATGGTAGAAACCTCTGCCTTACTTTTATTGGGTGAAGTCAGTATCGGTGTAACGGGTCCTGACAGGTTTTCTTTCTAATTGTAGAGTTTGCCCTGCAGTGCTACAGCTGTGTTGATCCTGCTTCCTTCTGCAACGAAACCACCCGCTGTCATTTAGACTTGGATGCGTGTGCCATTGTTAAGGCTGGTAAGAGCTTCCCATTCCCTGTCTCCAAAGTGCAGTGAACCCATGGGAGCCTGACCAACGTGTGCCTCTCTTATTATTCAGCTCCTATTCAACAAGTAAAGTTCTCAATGATTGTCACCAGCTATAGATAAGACTTTTTTAAGCATTTGCCATATATTTTTTTATTGAATACTTCTCATCTACCTCTCAGGATGATCTTTTATCCTCATTTAATCAATGAGGAGACTGAGGCTCAGATTAAGTAATGGACTAAAGTCAAGTAACCAAGTCAGGATTTGAACAAGGAAATTCATCTGATTCCTAAATTTGTGCTTTTAAACCGTGATACTGTGCTGCCTCCAAAATTTTTGAAAACCTCTGAGTGGCCAAAATCCCAAACACTGACAACATCAGATAATGGCAAGGATGGGGGAGAAACAGCAGCTCTCATTCATTGCTAGTGTGAATGCAGAATGGTCCAACCATGGATTATAGCTTGGCAGTGTCTTATAAAAGCACCATTTTGATTCAGCAATCTCATTCTTTATTCAAATGGATTGAAAACTTATACCCACATAAAAATATGCCTGTGGAGATTTACAACAGCTTAACTGATAATAGCCAAAACTTGGAAGCAGCCAAGAGGTCTTATAGCAGATGAATAGATAAATTGTGGTACTTTCAGACATTAGAATTTTATTCAGCATTAAAAAGAGATGCGTTATCAAGTCATGGAAAGACACAGAGGAATCTTAAATGTATTACTAAGTGAAGGAAGCCAACCTAAAAAGTCTACATTCTATCTGATTCTAGTGACATGACATTCTGGAAAAGATGAAACTATGGAAACAATAAGAAGGTCAGTGGCTGCCAGGGGTTATAGCAAAAGGAGGGATGAATAGGGGAAGTACAGAGGATTTTCAGAGCAATGAACTACTCTGTATGATAATGGATACATGTCATTATGTATTTGTCAAAACCCACAGAATTTATGCAATTGTTAGGATATTGTTTGTCCCCAACCAACAAGATCCATGTATTGGAAGCTGAGCCTTCAGTATGACAATGTTGGGTGGGACCTTTAAGGGATGGGGCCTAATACAGAATCCCTTGGGCAGTTGGGTAGGAGCCTTCAAAAGGAATTAAAGTAGCTCTTATGTAGCTCTTATGAGAGGGTTATTATAAATTAGCTGAGCCTGGCCCCACCCAGCTCTCTGGCCTCCTTTTTCGAGATATGAACCTTTCTCCCACACATGCTCCTACCATGATGTGATGCCACTCTCCTTTAGGCCCTCATCAGAAGCCCAACCAATGAGGAGGCCCAGTCTTCACTTTGAACCTCTTGAGTTGTAAGCTGTATAAACTCCTTTATAAAGTTAGCCGATGTCAGGCATCTCATTAAAGTAGGGAAACAGACCAATACAATACACAACACCAGGAATAAACCCCTAATATAAATTGTGGGCTTTGGGCAACAGTGATGAATGAGTCCATGTATGTTCATCACTCATAACAAGTGCTATCACACCAGTTGGGTTGTCGCTAGTGGGGAGGTTGTGTTTGGGTCACAGTTTTCTCTCTATTTTCTGCCCAGTTTTGCTGTGAACTTAAAAGTGATCAAAGGAGTACAATTTATATTTTCTTTAAAGGTCATGTAAATCTCAAACATTTTTCTTCTTCTCATAAACATAAGTCCCAAAACTTGAGCCAGACATGTAATAACCAGAAGTTTTTTGAAATATGGTCATCCCTCCATATCTGTGAGTTTCTCCTCTGGGGTCAACCAACCACAGATCAGAACTATTTGAAAAACAAATAGGGGCTTGTGTGGGAGAAAGTTTCATATCTCGAAAAAGGAGGCCAGAGAGCTGGGTGGGGCCAGGCTCTTGTCTACACTAACCATGTACATACTTTTTTCCTTGTCATTATTCCCTAAACAATACAGTACAATGCTATTCTCATAGCATTAAATCATATTAGGCATTTTAAGTGATCTAGAGATACAGAAGGGTGTGCACGAGTTATGTGCAGATACTACCCCATTTTATGTATGGGACTTGCACATTCTCAGATTTGGGGGGTCTTCAAGGGGTCCTGGGACCTCATTTTTCCCCCCAGCTGTAGAATGGGAATGTTTACCTCCAGGGTTACTGGAGCAGTTAGAAGAAAGAATGAATATGATAGTATTGGGTAAAGTCTAGAAGAGAGTCAGGCATTGGATGCTAACTCAGCCACCACTCAGTGGCCTCCTGACAATAGTAATCCTGTTAAATGTACTTAGAGTCTTAGAGGATGATGACAGTGCCCTGAATAAGGGCCACACCTAGAGGTGCTTAAGACAGAAACTATTGCTTTCAGTAAGTTTGAATCAAGTCTTTAAGAGTGGGGAGGTTGTGCAAGCAGAGAGAGCCTCTAATGCTGTGAGACTGATAGAATCCACTTGACTTTGGGCAGTTCTGATGTGGTTTATCATTCGAATGTGATAATTCGAGTGCTTGGCACGCCGCAGGATGCATAGTAAGTGATTAATTGGTAGCAATTATTAAGAAATTGCTCTCTGTTCTCCTCAAGCTATTAGGCTTCTCTAATTAAAATCATGGCAACTTTAATGCTTTTGAAGCTCCGATACTTAATTACTATTACATAAAGCAGTATCTTGTCCTATTGAACATTAGCCTCTCCTGTAATATTGGAAGCATCTACTTTAATAGGTATGACTCAAGCAAATAGAGCCATTTTGGGAATGATGGCTAGCTTCTGCTTCTGGACTAAGAGATCATTAAAATCCAATCCCAGTACCCATCCTCCCTGAGGAGGAGGGCAGGACAGTTTATATATACCTGCAGTTATGAACTTAGAGATGTTTTGTTAAACCCCAAGCTATGAATGAAAATAGATAAAATAGTTACACATCTTAAATAAGGAATGGGCACTAGCACAGAAGATAAGAAAATGATTCTGGGGCAAAGATGATACCTTATTATGTGTACAAATCCCCAGTATCTGGCACACAATCTGACACATGGACACTGTTTTATTGGGAGAGGAGAATATACCAAAACACCTCTTTCTCAACTAATACATTTTTTTTCATTCAACATGCTTTTTATGAATATTTAAAAAACACTATAAAATCCTCATCATTTATATTTCTGCCTTTAGTTTCCTACATGCCCATGGACATTTTTCTAAAAATATCATGGTGTATGCTTGTGGAAATTTTTCCTATACTACTGAGTAGTATAATGATTTTAAGTGAAGTTTAAAATATTTTAAAAATAAGTCATTCATATGATAATTTTAAAAAATCTTGTTCCATGTAGAAATGTAAATGAAGACTACTCTTCCATGAAAGTAACATGGAATCATTCCAAATAAAAAATATTGCATTTACCCCATGCATAAATAATTCATTTATGCAAATGGATATTCTACATACTCTTCCATGTCTATGTTCTTCTTCTTCTTTTTTTTGAGATATTCATATGCCACAAACTGTGCATTTTAAAATGTACAATTCAGTAGCTTCTAGTATATTTACAAGGTTGTGCATCTATCACCAATGTTTAATGCTAGGATACTTTTGTCACCCCCAAAAGAAACCCCTTACCTATTAGCAGTCACTTTCCATTCCTCCCTCCCATACCCTGCCAGCTACTCATTTACTTTTTGGTCTTTGTACATTTGCCTGTTTGGGGCACTTACATAAATGGAACCATAGAGTATTGTCCTTTGTCACTGGCTTCTTTCACTAAGCCTTACATTTTCAAGGTTCACCCATGTAAGAGCAGCTATCAGTATGTCACTTCCTGTTATGGCCAAATATATAACATTTATGCATAAGCTCTTGTGTGAGCATAGCTTTCCATTCTCCTGGTTATTTAGACTCAGGAGTAGAATTGCTTGATCATATGATAACTCAATGTCGAGGAACAGCCAAACTTTTCCAAGGTCTCTGCATCATGTTACATTCCCTCCAGCCATGTCTGAGGGTTCTAGATTCTCCATTTACTAGCCAACACTTGTTGTTTTTTTGATTGTCTTGATCTTATCCTCCTGGCAGGTATGAAGTGATATCTCATTGTGATATTTCTTTTTTCTTTTCTTTTAATATTTATTTTTTAGTTACAGGTGGACACAATATCTTTTATTTTATATTCATGTGGTGCTGAGGATCGAACCCGGTACCTCATGCATGTTAGGCGAGCGTTCTACCTCTGAGCCACAACTCCAGCCCCTGATTTTGGTTTTCTTAATGACTCGTGATGTTGGGCATCGTTTCATGTGCTTATTGCCTATATTTGTATGTCTTCTTTGGAGAAATGTCTGTTTGTTGCCTATATTTCCATTGGCATGTTTGTTTTTTATTCTGGAGTTATAAAGCATTTGAAAAAATTATGAAAGAATTTCATACCATGGTATTCCATGCAGATAAGGAATGACACAGGCCTGTAAGTTTAGTATGGAAACAGCCTGAGTTAAAAACAAAACACACACGAAAAAACTACTTTCCTCTTCCCCCAGCTCTGTGCTTCTGCTAAAAGCTAGATGTTTTATATATTCTGGCTACTAAATTCTTATCACTTAATTTACAAACATTTCCTCTCTTCCTGCATGTTGTCTTTATTTTTTCAATAATGCCCTTTGAAGCACAAAAGTTTTTAAACTTTGACGTAGTCTGGTGTATCTATTTTTCTGAATCCTTTTTTTAAAAGTCGAAATGTGTTTTATTTTTAGACAACCTAATGACATGTTTTTTTTCACTTTCAGAATCAAGGAAGGGCTGACATCGGCCCCATTTGGCTTAATTCCTGATGTTGTGTAGCTAATAAGCAGCAGCCAATTTGGTCAAAGTCAAGTTTTGTTAACATTTTCCATTTCTAAAGCATCCATAAAGAAAATCATGCATGGAGTCACACACTCCTCACTGTAGCCTGAGGGAGCAAACCTTCCATCTAGATTCATGTTTTTACCAATAAAAATGGGGTAGTTTTGAAATAAGCAGGGATGTGCTGGATTTATTCTTCACCTCCTGTCATAAAAGGTTTTACTCTGGCTGGGCAAGGTGGTATACACCTGTAATCCCAGAGGCTCGGGAGACTGAGGCAGGAGGATCGCAAGTTCAAAGCCAGCCTCAGCAAAAGTGAGACACTAAGCAACTCAGTGAGACTCTGTCTCTAAATAAAATACAAAATAGGGCTGGGGGTGTGGCTCGGTGGATGAGTGAGTACTTGCCCTCCTCCCTCAAAAAAAAAAAGGTTTTACTCTTTCTGGTCTGTTCTTCAAATTTACCTTTGATGGATTTCATGAGATCTCTGATGGACTTCTCACAGGCCTCTTCTGTGAAGCTGGTTTCCAGCAAGTGATGGTTCACGACACATCAACCCCAGAGATGGCAGTGCATAGGTACCTTCACCCTTGGGGCCTTTAGTAGAAGCCTTTCAGACTAAGAGAGACTCACCAGTGCCAACCTCTGTCCCTCTTGCTGTCTCATCCTCCACCTTCAAGCACAGCCTGTCTGCAGTCCCCTAGACGGTGTAAATGTCTGAGGCACCTGACATCTGACTGAAGGGAGATGTTGGTGATACCAGCTTTTATCTTGGGGAGGAAGGAAGTTGGTCTTTTGTGTTTTGTTTTAAACTCAGGCACTTGTTGTGCCCCAACAGGCCTGTGTTATTCCTTATCTGCATGGAGCACCTCTGTATGAAATCCTTTCATAATTTCTTCAAACACTCTTTAATTAGCAGACTCTTTGCTTTTCAGCTTCTTCTTGCTATATGGATAGTACTTAAGTGACCATTCCTGAGCTTCTATTGTTTACCTTTTGTACATCATAACCTTTTTACTTCATAGGATAAACTCTAAAAGTGGAATTGCTGAATCAAAAGGGATTTTGTTTAAAATCCTGGTAGATAATACCAAATTTCTCTCCTAAATGTATAAATGCCTAAATGTGTAAATACGCTCTCCTCCCCCTCTTCCCCTCCCCCCTCCATCCCACTCATCTCCACTGGCTCTGACAAGACGGGTCTTATGGAAGAGTTCTCAGTCCCTCTTACGCCCCAGCTGTGAGGACCCTTTTTGACTAGATCTAATTCCACAGAGTGAGTTCCCAGCAGTAGAATGGAGGGTTCAAGGGCAGATTCAGAACTCTACACAGTTGATTTCTTAACCCCTGTGTGTGTCTCCCCACAGGGCCACGAATATATCACCAGTGCTGGAAGTATAAGGATTGCACTTTCGAAGAGTTTTCAAAAAGATTAGGAGAGCCTGAGCTAACATATAGATGCTGCCAGAAGAAGCTGTGTAACCGTGACTTCGAAAAACCAGTAAAAGAAAAAGGAGGGACGGTCACCTTATCAGGGAAAACCATACTGGTGGTGCCGCTGGTTCTGGTCACATCCTGGAACTGTTTTCTCTGATTCAACACCAGGAAGGATTCTGCAGGCTGTCCCCTTCTCTATCTTTCCCATTTCCTGGCAGCTGCCCTCCAAAGCCTTTATTCTTTTTCAACTGGATCCTGCTGGGAAGGAATAAAATTGTCCATCTGGAACAGTTTAGATAAAAGAGAGGAACTCCAAGAGACTTGGAAGACTAGTCTTGTGCTCAGGGAAGGTGCACTTGACAGAGGTTTGAGTGACTCATGTGCAACTCCGTAGTCACATGCTCCTCCCTCTGCTCTTGGAGAACCAGCTGTGTGGGGATAGTTTATGTGGGTTCTAGCAACCCTTAGGCGTTTCCCTCTGGTTCTTTGGATGTAGTTAAATAGCATGAGCAGTACTTTCAGGGGGCAGGGGGATTCTTTTGAAGACTCCCCGTCACAGGAAATGCTTCTGTAAACCTCAGAGCTCCTGTGTTGCCATGTAGGCACACTGAATATTCTAGATGTTGGCTGTCAGTAAGAAGCAATGAGATTTTTTTTTCTTTTTCTTTTTTCTTTTTTTTTAATTTGTTAAGGATCAAACCAGGGGCCTCTCGCATGTTAGGCAAGTGCTCTACCAATGAGCTACCACCCCGCTGCCAGAGCAACGAGGTCCTTAATGCAGAAACTGCGGGATCACAGCTCTGTTCTCAGCTAGAAGACATATGGCAGGGACCGGGTAAGGTTCCTAGATGGCAGGGCGTACAAACACAGGATTTGTCTTTAGAGAGAATTGGGGGATTTGAGGTTTTCCGTGTGTATAAATTTTGGTGGGCATTGTTGTCTTTCACTAGAAAGATTTAATTGCCTTAATGAGTATTTAAGCTCTATTCCCTCCTTTTTCACCCTGCTTGGAAAAGTGGGATATCTTGATTTTGCCACATGTAATTTAAGAATAAACGTTCTATGCCACACCACATGGCTGGGAGTACTAAGTATGCCTATTTTAACTGTTACTGTTAGGAAGATGTGTGTGTGTATGAGTGTGTGTGCGTGCACGCGTGCACATGTGCATATGTGTGTGTGCTCATGCATGTATGGAATGCATGCAATGGGAATAGCCTTTGGGGCTGCCATGTGTGATTTCCCAATGCCATCACTAATAGCAACAGATCTGGAAGCATATTTTACCCGCCTGTCTGCATTCAGTGTGGTGATTCCTAGTTAACTCAGCACAGATGATATAAAATACATTCATGTGGGCTATTATCACGTTAAGGCGAGATTGCAATAAATTACCAAGTTGATCTTAAAGCAGGAGACAAACTTTATTCACCAATTGGCGATCCGGATCCACCAGCTGGCAGGCCAAGGGGTAGGCTGCAGGTCTACACCCTTCGACCCCCTTCCAGGGTTTAATATGGTTTTATAGTCCAAAACCATATTAAAGCATAAGTGGCTGTTGCTATGATTCAAAACCATAAACAAATGTCATGAGATCTAAAGTCATAAGCAGAGAAGAGAGTGGGTCAAAACATCCCTAGTTGAGTACAAGTTAAAGACAGTCAATTTCTGACAGGGTACATTGTTCAAGAAAAATGGGAGCCAAAGAGAGAACACTATTACATTATATAAGGATTGCCATTTTGTGTTGCCAAATGTGCTATGCTAAGCAACTGTTGATGGGCACAGAGGTGGGGCTTTCCCTGGGAGAAGCATTTCTTACATGACGTGGAGTTTCAGGGCAAAATGGAGTCTCTGTGGTCATTGCCCATATAGCCTGACCCATAACAATCATAGTCACCAATGTTGATGCTTTTGGAAGCTCTTCCTTTTTCCTAAACAATGGTATATCCCTTTCAGGAGGACAAAAGTTTCCCTTTTCCCCATGGTTGTTACTGTATAATTCTTAAGATCCCATAGGCTTAATGACATGTGTATTCCTGTGTTCTTAGTTGTATTTAATAGCATAGCATGGTTTATGCAGATGCAAGAGGAATTTATTGATTAACTCGAAAATTCTTGATTTTATATCTGCTCTACAAGTGAAATGCATTGTGTAGTCTTTTAGATGATAATGCAAAAAAATGTTGCTTTTCTGAAAATAGAATATAATCAAATGGATGAGTGTGGTTTATTGGTCCAGATGCAGTATGCTCAGCGGTAGCAAATTGAAGAAGGACATTTGGGCAGTATTGGTTTTCATCTAATGATGCCACTACCTAAATATTGAAAAGCAGAGACTTCCTCACCTCCGCCTTGAGTGATCCATGGTAACACTGTTTTTCTTCACATCATCTATTCAAGACATGACTAGTTAGGACTCTTTCCTCAGTAGGCCTTTTTCTGCCTGAGGAAGTATTGATGGTGCCCACAGCCACTGACTGAGTCTCTTATATTTAAGAGTTTTAAGGAACAAGAACTGATTTTGACTCACTTATGCAGAAAATGAAATTTTTGGAACCTTGTGGGGAAATGCCTCCAGATTCCCCAAAACCAGCAGTCCCTGAAAAGTCTCTCTCAAGATTCAGATTCCAATACAAGCCTGTCTGCCTGTTCTCTTGGGACACGTATTCACTTCTTGGCCTGAGTACATTGGGGAAAAGGTAGTTCTTTAATGCAGAATCTGGGTGCTTCTAGGTGGGGAGAGGGCTGCTGATCAGTTAAACTCAGCAAGCAACATATAGATTGCCTTAAGCCTTGAGATTTCTTTCTGTAGAACATTGCTATGATAATACCACAGACCAAGGTTGAGTCCTGGACCCAAAAGCAACAATGAAAAGGCCAGAGAGGAGCTGAGTGTGATCTAGAAGATCTTAAATCTAGTGATCTTTGCATGGCTTTACAGAAACTGTCATAGTGTCAATATTGGCTAGTGACAACTCCATTGGGTCTTTTTTGGGGAATGAGCCTTGTGTGCAAGGTATATCTGATGGGTGGGTAAGTGGAACTCATTTTATGTCCTGAAGGGTGCTGATCATTGTCCAAGTTCATCTTGGACATACTGGGCTTCAAGGTATGGGTATATTCTTCTTGTGTCCTCATAGTCAGCCCCATGACTGAACATCATGTGGTGTGTGTCCTGATATGAGTCTGACCAACTCACGAGTTTTGGACTTCTGCTTCCTGAGAGAATGGACCAGCTTTATACATCTTAGTCCTCAGCAGGACCAGATGATTTATCTTGCACAGAAAGTCAACTATCGGTGTTCATACCTATTGATGCACATAGGTTTCTGTTACTTGCAAACAGATCTGAATTAATGCTAACAGTTCTTGTTAAAGGATTCTTGTGCTGAGAAGGCAAAGCTGCCTGAAGGTCATACCCACCTGACATTCATTTCAATGAAGGCAGCTTTTTGGTGAAGGGTTCTGAGCTCTGTGTCTTTTTTTTCTCCCCTTGTTCCAGGGGCATTTAACTACTGAGCCACATCCTCAGCCCTTTCTATATATTTTATTAGGGACAGGGTCTCACTAAGTTGCTTAGGGCCTCACTAAGTTGCTGAGGCTGACTTTGAACTTATGATCCTCCTGCCTCAGCCTTCTAAGCCTTTGGGATTACAGACACATGCCATTGCCCCGGGATGAGCTCAGTATTTTACATACATTTTCATCCATAGTATCATCTCACTTTGCATAAGATGAAACTACACTTGGAGAAGTTAGCTGAATGGCTCAAGGCCACCAAGGCAATAGTTTCACAGCTCCCTAGGTAAACCACTCTACTGTCCTACCCGTTTGCACACTGACTTTAATGTACTTTCCAGGCTAACTTTGAAAGGAAGTCTGGAATAAACCCCTGGTGCTTTGAAAAAATCAATTGCTATCTTAGGAAAGCAAACATTAAATGCAGTCATTTGTTACTGAAAAATTCCCCAACAGTGTGAGCTTCACAGGACCACATTAGACTTTTCTGGAAACAGAAGATCATTTCAGAACACAGTGTCTGCCACTGTTTCTAAATGTCCACTGCTTCTCAGAGAGATTTCATTTAAGGAAGGCAGCAAAGTGTATGGGTTTAGTAGTTGGGAAATTGGGTTCTGTATCATCTACTAATTTGCTAGATCTCTAATTAAAAGTTTTGTTTTGTTTTTTTAAACCTTTCTAAGCATTGGCTTTTTGCACCTACCTCAAGAATTGTTGTGAGGCTCAAAAGAATGCACTTGTAAAGGGCCTGGCAATAATAAAGATGCTCAAATATATGAATGTTATGGTTTGGATCTTCAGTGTCTTCCAAAAGCTCCGGTGTAGAAGGAGGCTTGGTCCCCAGCTGGTGGTGCTATTGGGAGGTGGTGAAACCTTTAGGGGAGAGGTCTAGTAGAAGGAAGTTAGGTCACTGGGACAGCCCTTGAAGGGGATACTGGGACTCTGGCCCCTTCCTCTTCCTCTTTGCTTCCTGGCCACCATGAGGTGAGCGGCTTTGCCCTGCCATATGCTCCTTGCCATGATGTTCTGCCTCACCACAGGCCCAAAAGCAGTGGAGAATGGTCAGGTACTTCAGAAACTGTCAGCCAAAATAAACTTTTCTTCCTTATAAGTTGTTTATCTCAGTTTTTTTGTCACAGCAATGGATAGGTGACTAGAGGTCTTCAACCTCCAGTGAATCATAGTGCATTTATCGCACTGGCTGACATAAGTAGGAACTGACTAGAGGTCTTCTTTTCAAATTTCTTTTATTATTCAGTATAAAAATTTATAATAGATAGTCTTATTTGTCTAAACTAAAGCTGTTCGTATACATTCGTTATTATTTAGGGGCAAGATAAATGAACACACTGAGTGCCTTAATTTCTTTCTTTTTTTTTTTTTTCTGTTTTCTTTTGGTACTGGGGGTTGAACCCAAAGGTACTTTACCACAGAGCTACATTCGCAACCTTTTTAATTTTGTTTTTAAATTTAGAGATGGGGTCTTGCTAAATTGCTGAGGCCAGTCTTAAACATGCAATCCTTGCAGTTGCTTATCTCTGGATGTTTTATGGAAGAAAATCAGACTCTATCAGATGATACTACTCTAAGTTGGACTGTGTATTGTTTGCTTACAATACTTGCTTCAGCCTTGCAAGTTGCTGGGATTTCAGGCAAGTGTCACTACACTCAACTAAGTACCTTAATTTCTAGGTAGGGGTCTGCAGTGCTCACTGGCGGTATGGATGTTTTCTTTTTCCCCCAGCTGCTGGGTGGATCTCTGAGTCTCTAGAGAAGAGGGAGAAGATGTGCCCTGCAGAGAACAAACTGGGAAACTCCAACTTCCTCAGCTGTGTTTGGGGCATTCCTTTCTGTGATCAGCTCCTCTAGGGCATTGCTGTTCCTGCCCTTGCTATTCTTAGTTATAGCTTCAGTATGTTGAGCCTACATATAATCATTGCTCATTGTCTCCACTGACCCCACCAACCTGGTTGTGGGCTTACAGATAGGTCGATCAGGCCACCTGAAGTGTTTACACCAATAGGATGGTGGTTGCCCTTATTGGTTTAAGTAGCTGTCATATTTAGTGTGATCTGGTGTTGTGGCTGGAACTGGAATTTTGAATTGTAATTCATATTCTCCACCAGTATGGACCTAGTGGGACCAGGGAACATAGTGGTCATAACTCGAGAGCTTCTTATGTGCCAGGCCCTACTTTAAGCACTGTTAATATACCAGGTCACTTGATTTTCTGAATTTTTATTATGAATAGTATTGTCTATACCCAAACCCTTAAGAGTGCTTACAGATTATAGATGACAACACAATTTTACTGACTGGGGCTCAGAAGCCTGCCCTTGGATTCAGTAAAATCTAGCCTTATTCTAATGCCCTCTCCCCTTTTCTATTCCTTGAACTAGTTTGAGAAAGTTTGTTTCTGGCCACCAAAAATTTCTGTCCAGAAATTTGGGGGAATTACATCTATCTTTTTATGGTGGGGGGACTGTTAATACAAGTAACCTACTCTCCTCTAGCCAAAATTTCTCCCAAAATTTGACTTGCATGGAGTTATGC